TGTATGCTTCTTTGTTAACCTTCCTCACACTACAATGTGCAGGGCAACTTCTCAGCACCCTGGTGAGCACAAACAATCCTGTTTAAACCAAAAAGCATGGTCAGGACCTGTTACCCTTCACCCCATCCAAGCTGATTTATGATTTATACCAAAGAAAGAAACAGGAAAATATGTTCAATTAGTGACTTGGGAAAACAAAGATGAATCCAGTCTACATATGACTAACAGCATCAGGTTAAGTGTAATTCACAGAAAGAAAAGATTCTCAAGAGTTTCAATCTTAACCTATTAATAATATGTGCAAGTTGACTAGAAACACAATTGTTTCTAAACCCATCTTCTTACCTTCATTACTAGATATATCAATCTTTCCATTAAATTGGTAATGTTTAATCTCAAGGGTTGGAGGTTTTCTTACCTAAATTCCTCTGAAATTCTTCAATAGCCTTTTTTTTTTTTTCTTGTTCTTTAATAACACCTACTTTTTGTCCTTTTTCAATGATTAGACAGTTGTCATAAATTATCCAATTTTCTGCGAGCTGGATGGCAAGAGATATATGAAGATTCCCATGATTACTCAGTTTATCACAAATTACCAGCTACACAAATGGATAAATAATTCATAGACCTCCTTCTTAGCCAAAGTAATAATGTGAAAACCTTATTGCAGTATAAAATAGATATAGCTGATAGGTACTAGCAGATGCATTTGTAAATAGCTCAATCAAACATTTACAAATGCATATTTGCCATAATTATTAGCCATCTACATCACAGGTTCCATCTCTATTTCCTCTAAGACTGATGAACAGGAGAGGGCTTGAAGGGTCGCTGACAAGATCATTGTTAACAAAGCTAAACTTTAACCCTCTAGAAACAGAACAAGTTTTTAATTGTTTTATTGTTTGCTCCTTTTTTTTCTTCTGTTTTAAACAAAGTGAGGTTAACATTTTTTTAAAATTTGTTTTTTACTTTCTTTTATTGTACATATAGCCCTAAAAATAGAAATTTTAGTGAACAAAATAGGCAGCAGGACTCAACTGACATGGCCCCAACAAGAACCTGTGGGAGAAGACTGCATGTCCTGGTACTCACCTTCCCTAACATGACTGGAGAGTTTGCAGTGGAGAGGCCTTTCACTCCATATCAGATTGTACTCAAAATTTATCTTTGCACTGTCTCTGTGGACAAGAGAAGTCAAAGATTTAGAACATGATGGGGATGATCTTCCTGCTGCATGCAGTTGTGCTGATTGACATCATCCCTATACTGCTTCAGCCTCAGAGAGATAGTGTGAGGACATTTGGTCCTCAACATCCTGTAATGATCATGGAGTGATTATATATGACACTACTGTAAAGGTATTACCTTCTAGAAACACAGGAGACCTCCTCTGCCCCAGGAATCCTGTGAGCTCTCTTCCTTTGTGAGGTCCAAGCCCTTCACTGAGGAAGACTGATATCATGGTAAATCTGAAGACATCAGCAGACCCTTAAGGCAAACAGATGTAAAAATCCAGGAGAAAAGATCACTTGACATCTGTACCACTCTTCTTTATTTGGTACCTCCTTTGTATGCCTTGCCAGCTGAGGTGTAAAGTATTAAAGAATTTTGTGATCTCGTTTTCCATATCTCCAGCCATCACTGCCTGTTTTTACTTTGGTATCCAATGTACAATACTGTGAGCAGTCACTAGCGTCTGTCCTAATTGTCAGTCTTTCTTCTTTCCTTCTCCTTCAAAAGAGTGAGCACTTTGAGAGCATGGGCAGATGTTAAGATGCAGCAGGTATTGTAATAAATGTCCTCAGGAATATAGTAATTGAAAATGCAGGTATTATGCTCATCCTGCATGCTACCAAATGTGGATGGAGAGCAACATGTATCAACGAGCTGGTAAAAGGCCTCTTTCATTTTCTCCACTGTTTTGAACTCACATCTGGACTGAACAGGCTGCTAGGGAGGGAAGAGCCAGTCTATTTAAGCTGTACATAAATGTTTCCAGCACCTCTCCTCACCACTTTCTTTCTGTACCTAGAGAAAAAATTCAATGAGTGGTTTCAAATTCCTCTTGGCGTTTTGAAGCCAAAGTTAGGTTGAATAGTATAGAGCTAGGGATTTTTTATTTAATTTTTGAATTTTGGACTGTTTTGCAGTGGGTGGATGTAAGCCAACTTTCTGCAAATAATGAGATCCAGGGAATTTTATGGGAGGGGGAAGTATCAATGTCCTTATAGATTGAGGTTGTGCCTGATGGGTTTCTTCACTCACTGTATGTATTTCAAAAATGAATCCTAAGAAAATTCCAAGAAAGATTACTATGAATTGCTCTCAGCCCTGTACATAATTAAATAACCTACTGTACAGACCTGGAGGTGTAGGGTTGAGAATTCTTTCTAGTGCTAATAGTGAGGTATGTTGCTTAAATCAATTTGATATAACTCCTTATTTTCTCTATCCTAATAAAATATTTTTAGACTGATTTGCCTATTAAAGAAAATAATCTGAGAAAGACAAAAGCCCTAAACAATCTGTAAGCAGCATTTTCTCATCAGTCTAAATTGATGACCATACAGCTGTCCTGTACAGTGAGAACTGCCATCTAATTCTGTGATTTGAGGTCTTCCTTAGTGATTCTACCATGTTTTTTTCCTGCTTTTTGTCACATATTTTCTTTCTTTTTCTTTTTTTTAATAAACATGACATTTTCAAAACTGTAGAGAGCACATAAATTATCTGAGATAGCACATAATAATATAATTTCTCATTTTTGAGAGAAATTTCAGGAGAAAGTTCTAGTGAGAAATAGTTTTTACACGTAGAAGAACATATATTTTCTTCCACTTTTCATGTTTTGTCTTCTGCTGTGCTTAGCTTACACTTTAATGGCATTCCCTTTTAGTCCCCACTGATATAACTGCTGCCCAGGCTGAAGGGCTATGCAGTCTCTAATTTCTCTCCCTGGTGCTCCTATCAGCAGCATTGGAATATCTCAAAAATTTAAATCACATTTGGTCATTTGGTCTTCACATGCCTTTACACCTGGTCTGTTATATCTGCTTGAAAAGAAAAATCTTTTGTTCAATAAAGTATAACTTCTGTAATGAGAAATACATTTCCTGTTATCCATGAGCAGTGAAACAAATGTGCTATTGTCTATAGGTGTTTGCTACTGAAGTAGAAGTATTATACGCTTTGCTTTTTTTTTTCTTTTTTAATTTGTATAGGTGAGAACACCAAAACCAGCAAAAACTTTTACCTTAGTAACTCACAAGACTCTTGTTAGGATATACCCTTGATCAATATCCTAAGAGATAGCTATAGTAGGTACAAGAAGTTTTGAATTATTAGAGCTATAAATCATTCACATAAAATTCACCCTCATCATGTTTTTCTGTTTTTCTGTATTCACTGTAAAATAAAACCAAATTATATTGCTTTTACAAGACAGATAAAGACATTCTACTTTGTAGACATTTTGGCCTACTTCTGCCTGATAATGTTTTCCTTTTCTATTTCATTCTCATTGCTCTAGTGACTAATCCTATAAAATCAGTATCTTCTTTTGAATAAAATATAAACAACACAAAGCTATTCCAAGGTATTTCTTATATATGAGTAGATTCATGGAGTTGGGAAAAGATTAAGGAAAAAGACTGTATGGGGTAAATAGGAAATGCTTTCCCAACCTAATTTTCTCTTATTCTTTGTTCCTGTCCTGTAATAAAAATATAACTTTCCTTTAAAATTTTAAGTATGTGATTGTGAGAATTGATATTTGATTATTTTGACAATTAGTAACTATCCACTGGACTATTTATGCTGAAGAACTTGCACAATCATTCTATGCTTTTTGAGCCATGCTTCCTGGATGGTATCTTGAAATGAGCCAAATATATGGTATTTCATGTTATGCTCTTCATCACTGCTATGTTTGCATTACTGAAATTCTTTGCACAGATGGGCAGAGGCAGTACTGTCAGAAAATGTTCTGTTGCAAATTCTTTGCTAAATCCAAGCTTTTTCTTCCTCCAATTGTTTAAAAATAAAACAAAACAAAATGCATACTATGCCTAGTTCTCGTTATCTTTTATGCTAACTTACTGCAATAATGTAGTGCTGAAATTTTGGTTTCTTTTTACTTATACAGAAGAGAAACTTTTACAAAGAATGGAGATTACTTGGTTTATTTCATCTTAATGTTTTTATGTTTTCAACAATTATTTTTTTCATTCTTTTCCTCACCCCTCCATCTTATATTTATCTATTATGGTTTTATATTAATTACCAGATAAACTAAATGTTAGCAAATAAGATCAAAGCCCTTCATTCTTTGTCTAAATTACAATCTGAATGTACCTTGAATTTTGAACTAACTCTTCACTTACTATCCCTCATGAGTAAAATTGGATGCTTCTCATGCTGGCAAAAAAAAAAAAAAAAAAAAAAAAAAAGGCTAAAAAAAAAAAAAAAAAAAAAAAAAAAAAGGGAAACCCACAGTCTGCTGAATTGTAAAAGAACGGTCCTAGATTATTTCTCAATAATGCATGTGTATGGAGCAAGATTCCCTCCTTTTTCACTTCTCTTTCATTTGTATTAAGACTGTAATAGTGCAAATGATATAATATATGGAAACAAAAATGCAGATTTTTTTTTTTCTTATTACGAAATATTTTGCAGTCTATGAAAATATTAAAATCCAATTTTCTTGACAATTTCAAATAGTTGTATAACAAAAATTCTGTAGGATGAAATATGGTTCTGGCCATTATTCACTACATACTATGTGCAATTCCCCTGTTTAAACAGGCTCATCCATCCAATAAGGAGAAGTAATAGATTGATAACATTGATGATTTGTGATCATCTAGTAAGTCAGAATAACTAGCTCATATGCATGCTATAATATGAAATATGTTTGAATAAAATTAATTAAAACCCAGTTTGGTTTTCCTGAATGAGAAATATATCAATAGAAATGGATCTTATCCCCGGTTTTTCAGGTTGTTGAGTGTTTGTCTCTACTTGATCTCTACCTGTTCCTGAAGGAAAGCCCTGAACTTCTGTCCCTTGAATAGCTCTCTGCTTCAAGTTCAACAAACTCACCTTGTTATTGTAGATCAACCAGAAGATTTAACTAAGTGGATTTTGTATGAATAATGCTATTCAAAATAAAGACATGTTCAAGATTCTCATTGCAATAAAAGAGTACGCTCATCTCTGCTTTGAGACTTTCCTCAGAAAAAAAAAAAAAAAAAGCCAGCAGGTAAATAAGGTATCAGCTGAAATCAGCTTAAGGGTTCTTGGGATATTTCTGTCCCTGGAGTTGTTCAGATTCAGGAGATGAAAAACAAATTTCATCAAACTTTGCATTTTTACTCTCTGGGAATAAAATCTCTGGGCATGCTTTTCTCGTAGCAATCTCATGTCAATATTTTGAGGTTTTTTTTTTTTTTTTTTTTTTTTTTTTTTTTTTGGCTTTTTTTTTTTTTTTTTTTTTAATCTGCAACAAACTATATGTTATATATACATATTTATGTATGCAAACATAGAGAAGCACACACATATATATACAGATATACATACACATAATCATGAATCTATTTTGCAAACACATTATGCATCATTAGGTATTTGTAGCTAAAAACAACATTAGTATGTATAAATATATACACATGTATAAATATGTGTTAACTCTCATTAAATTTGATCATGATTTCTTACTTTTAGAAAGTGTATGAATGTAATAGTTTGTATGCATGTAATTGTTTTTTGAAGTCTTGATGCTAATATATTGGTATTTGTTACTCACATATTTTATTGTGCTGCATGCCTGAATGACAGATGATTATCTGACAAAGGAAATCTGGTGTTAAACAAAATAAGCTAGTACCACATTTAAAAATTACAATTCTAACACAACAACAGTTGAATATGTGTATCGTATTTTAAAAATTTAATATCTGTCTATTGCCGGTATTGTCTTTGTCCATGTTGACAACAAAAGGATAAATACAGTGCATATAGTAGGTCCCTCTGGTTATAGCATGAACATGACACATGTCATCCTATGATAAATTGGCTCTGTGTCTATTCAATTTCAAATCCAAAGCTCTGGAGGCAGAGGTGTTAGGAAGCAGGCATAATTCTGGCGAGCAGAGGCCTCAGATGCACAAAATTAGTGTGCATGGAACAGATAACAAAAAGCAAGAGGGAGACTGAGAAGAAGTTTGCACAGGTTTGTCAACTTCCTGTGGTTTAGGTAGTATTGGCAGATGTTGGGTATAAGAAAAAAATCTGTAAGCATGATAATGAATGTTACCAGAATTAGAAGTGACAACTGTATCAAACACAAATGCTGTCTGTTTTTTGATTTGCATACCAATTAAATGAAAAGACCCAAATATTAGGTTTCAGAATTTGTTTGACAAATAATCTGCTGGGCTCACTATGTACATCTGGGTCAGACATGCTGGCTGTATGACAGATGCAGTGTCAAAAGAAGATTTTAACATAGAAAAAATGTATTCAGATTGTTACTAAGTACTGTACTTAAAGCAAAGATTAGAAAAGGGTCTAGTTCAGAAATTGCTTTAAACAAAGTGGTATCTACCTCTCTCTAGGCATTTTATTATGCATTACTGTCAGGTCTGGTATGTGAGACATCTTCCTCACTAACAGCTAAAGAAAGGAGTAGGCAAAAATAGTTCTGTTCTGTACCATTATATTGTGCAGCTATCTTATTCCCTGGGTAAATACATATGTTTTATGGGACTACTCAAAGAGTAAGAGACTATTTGATGTGAGCAATGATGGCAGAATCAAGCAATACATGCTTAAGCATTTCTGCAGAATTTTACATTTTTCATGCTCCTCTGAAATATTTACAAAGTAGTTCATGTCTGGTGAAGGTTCAGGTCAGTTCTCGTTTTAGTAAGACAAGTTCACTTGACCCTGATTTTAAAGAAAACTTGAGTCAAAGCAGGAGACTGTTCTTAGACAAATGCTACTCCAATTTCTGAACCTATGTGCCTTGCTGATATACCTTTTTAACAACTTCTGGGGTTTGCCACCCATATGGCATTTCATTTTGCACTCTTTCATGCTGAATTTCTTAGCAGTGAACACTGGATTTGACTTTCTACTGAGCCAAAGTCATGTCCTGTAATTTTTAATGAAACCTGCTTCTCATCAATATTTCCCTGTTTCTAGATATTTGAGGGTCCAAATATGCTACACCTTAAATAATATTAAACAACGAGGCAAGGAGCATCTATGTTAGTGTTTGGAAAGATATGTGATTTATACATTTATAGGCATGGACTGTAGCAAATACCCAATGAAACACCAGCTGTGAGTTCGCTGTGTTCAGAGAAGCCCTCAAAACAGAAAAAAATTCTTTCTAGTTTCTGTGATTGTATGATGATATAGTGCAACCCTTGATATTCTCAGGAATAGAATCGTGGTATGTGTGGCACTATATGGGTAATCATACAATAATGCAGTAGTAAAATAAAAAAAAACCCGAATTTGTAGCATTTTGCTCAACATTAAGAAATAATATCTGCAATTTTTTCTCCTTCTTTTCCTTGTTTTTTATTTTTTTTTATCAAGGAAATGAATTTACACGGGGTAAATGTAGTATTTAAATATTTAAAATTTAAATGAAGAAGCTCTTCTTAAATGCACCTGTATGTACTAGATATGTCTGAGTCCATTTGGTATAAGAAAGTAGGCCATGAAATTATGTGTTTAAAGAAGTCAAACTACTCACTCACAGAGGATGAAAGTTTTTTAAACTCTTCTGCATATGTTGAACTGCTTTTGAAAATCCAAGCAGACAGAACCCATGCCATTAACAATGCATAAGGTGCAGATTTCTAGAGTCCAGAAAACAGAGAAGTGGAATTCCCTCATGTAAAAAAATAAGAATAGGAAAAATGTGTTTTATGTACTAAAATGGCGAGTTTTACATATAAAATCTTTAAAAATAAAGTGAATAAAACCAGAACACTCTAGGTTATGCTGTTATATGGAAGCAAAAAGAGACATGGTTAGCTTTGAACCAGCAAGTGTTTCATACTACAACCAAGGGATGCATTTTTCAGCGATGAAATTGAGCAAAGGAAAATTTAGTTTTATTACCAGAAAAATGTATCTAATAGTGAGATGTATTAGAATTGAGGAATAGTCTCTTGAGAGAAGTGATGGAAGCCCCATAGTTTGAGTCTTTGAAATACAGTCTAGAGAAAATTTTCTTTCTGGGAAACAGCTTTGCGTTTCTATAGGAGGGACAGTGTCACCTAATGGAATATTTCTGCATGCAATATCCTCTGTACTCTGATTTACTATTACCATGTTTGTGTAAGATTTCATAGAAGTCTGAAAAAGAAGACAAGATTCCATCTGAATTATTTTTCATAACACAATGAAACCAAAGTTCTAGAATATTCTACTCTGTCTCAGTATCATTGCTTAATGATTGCTTAATGTTTTGTCATATTCAAGAATATGACATGAAGTTTCAATAGGCCAAGGTTTGTTCATGCCTTCATTGATTTTCAATTTTGTTTTATTTTGGCTTTTTTAAAATATGGGTTTTGAGAAGATAAGAGATAAGAGATAAGAGAAATACTTCCATGGAGGAGGTACACTTTCATTAATAGAGCATATAAATACATACTTTAAAATATATTAATAGAACATATTAATATGTATTAATAGAACGTTAGTATTCTATTAAGATATTTCTAAGCTTTGAAAGAAAGTTTCTCATTCAGTAATTTGTGATGGTTTTTCACCTGTTAGGAAAATGCACATAACATAATTTGCTCATTTAAATGCTAAACATAGATGTGTCTTTGTCTATTAGCAAAAGCACTAAAAGGTAACTTTGAATGCTTTCATATTCACAGCACAAAGTATAAATTTCTTCACAGCATAAAGTATAGATAAAACCTCAACTTCCTCCTGAATAAATAATAATAAAATGTAATATCCCTCTAGCTCTTCAAGTTATTCCTGTGACATAACTTTCTAACTGCTTATCCATTTCCTTAATGTCTCCTGACCATCACAGAGGGCTAACAAGGAAGAACAGATCTGAATTACCAAGGGAAAGCAAGGCTCCTTGTACATATTCCCCTCAAGAACTTTTATCATATTGCCCATCTTTGGACACTCTCTAATAGCTTTGTATCTTTGTTATATTGTGTTGCCCAGAACTGCACCCAATGTTCAAGGTGAGGCCACAGCAGCGCAGAGTGGAGAGGGAAAGGTGAGTTTCAATTTATTTTTACACATTTTAATATTGCCAAAAATAAAGCTAATAATGATCATGTTCCAATAATCAAAGGTGATCTGACAACAAATAGGTTATAATATGAAATGTTAAGTACATGAACCTAGTGCTTGTCCAGATATTTCTAGATCCAAATAGGCTCAGAATTTATCTTAAAAATATGAGAATGTATAACTAGTGATGGTGGAGCACAGAAGAGTAGAGGCTTGACCGACACCACCTTTGTATTTACTTACTTTCACCATCAATATGAAGATGAAATTGATTTTTCACTGAGACCTGTTCATCAAAAATGAACCAAGTATTTACTTTTCAGTCATAAATAATGCCTGGGTTTCAGCAGGATGTTTGTAGAAATAGGCTTGAAACATGTCCCTTTAACGGAAAATATTTTTACATTTGCTTTAACTTTACTGATCATTATTCTAGTGTAAAAATTTAGAGATTGTCCAAGAAAAAAATCTATTGTCAATAGTTTTGTTCTTTTGCATGTTTCATGATTGCTGCTATATCAAAACCTTCTCACTTGAAGGTCTTACAGGAATTTGTATTGCCGAAATCATAGTGGTGGCAATCATCAGCTGTTCTTCATTTTATCTTCAGATTTGCTGGATAAGTTCATTTAGATATTTACACAGAATGAATTCTCTGGAGTCTAAACCGATTTTAAAACTATGTTCTAGCACAAGTTTATCTTCTTTCTTGCATTGCTTTTTATTTTCTTGTTTTAACTTACCTTTTCAAAATGAATTGCGCAATGAATTTCAGCACGGATCAGAGTTTAGAAATTATTTTGATGGTTAAGCAATATGGATTTCTTGATCCTGATATGAAAGTAAACCACAAAATTATTATATTGTAGAAGTTATCAGTGCACTAAAACCAGTCCACAATTATGAATTAATTTTATTTCATT